TTTTTTACAATAACTTAAATGCTTTCCCTAGGAACTGCAGATTAAATTTATATAGTGACCGTGTTGATTTGTATGTGTTTAGATTGATTATTTAAAAAAAAAAAAAAACGAGTTGGACATCCTTTTTATCTTGACTCTGTTATATTAAAATGGAGGCCATTGCAGCAAATAATAAAACAACATTATCAGAGTGCAAAGTAACTTGATTTTTAAGTATCTTAAAATATTGGGAGGCAGGAAGTAACCATCTTCTTACAGTTTTAGAGCTGGCTACTTTGGTTCGGTAAACATCATTAACCCTTTTGTGATGAAATGGTAAGCAATTCTTTGATATAACCATGTTTTACTATATCTGAGGTATTTTTCCTGTACTTTTTTTTTTTTTTTGAGACTTCTGCCTCCACTCTTAAACTGTATAGATGTTCTCAATGCGTATTGAGATGGCATCTTTCACCTGAGACTATTTTAAGTGCTCAAGCAATGATAAAAATATCTAAAATATCTTCTTAAACTTTTTGCGGGTATTGAGTTATCAGTAACTTCAGCCAGAACTTTTCAGAGATTAAATGGAGTGTAGCTAGATGACAGCAGCTTTACTTTTAGTGCCTTTTAGTTTTGTTTTTTTCCCCCCTCCTGGAGGAGGGATGCTAAGGGTGTTTATAAAGGTTCAGATGCGCTCTAGTTTAACAAATGCTGTTTTCAACACGCAAGATATTTAGTGGATGCTTCATTTTCCATTTTAGATTCATTGTATATACTTACCTCAGGAAAGCAGGCCAAGGCCATTGTTAGGTGTCTCTGTATTGTTAAAAGTAAAGACTGTGGCATTGTTGGAGACTGAGGCAGTTTGCAGAAGCAAGATCTGCTAATCACAGCAGATGTTATCAGGCTTCAACAGTTCTGGTATGGGAGAAAGGTATTTGGATAACTTGGTATACAAGTGATTGCATCTTTTTGAATATATCAGTATTGTGGGTTACAGAGTACAGTAATGTAAATGTAACTGTAAGGGAACAGTACACTTACAATAATAATAACTGTGGTTTCAGACAGTGTTTATCCTTACAATGTTCTAAACACATCTATATCTTTACCAGATAGCTAAACCTAGGTTTCTCCCCTGTCTTAGTGGAGCAACAGGTGAGCGTTGTCCATGGGAACACATATAAGGAATGTGAAATGAAGTACTTGAAAGATTACTGTATGCTGCAGATAATAACAGTGAGACTTGAAAACTGTACTTAGCTGTGCAGTAATGCTTCCATGAGTTAAAGTCAGGTTTTAGTCTGTTTACAGTATTGCTGTAAATTACTGTTAGGGCAACAAGAACCAATGGAAACATTTCCCAAATTTTACAGGGATAGGCCTGAAGAGTTTCAAAATGACTGTGAAGTTAGGTGCCACATAAAAGTTGTCTCTTGGCCCTACAGGTTGTTGTAGTGCTGTTTGTGTGGTCATCTTCTGCCCTTTCTTTTGCTGAAAATCAGTCTGTAAGGGAAAGGGGAAGCCGGAGATAGTTACACTTATTTAGTAAGTTTTTGTTTTCCGACTGACATCTCAGTCCTGGGCTCATAACTCATCCGATGATTAACAATTTATAATTATAATTTATAATCTTGTTCTGATGATCCTTGTTGGCTCATCTGTTGGACAGAACCAAGCTGTCAAGCAAGGATTTTCACATGGTTTCACAGTTCTTTCTTTAAGTTTCATGGGATCATAGAGTTGCTGGCATTTGGGGGTAAGAACCGGATGGGATTCCTTGAACTAGAGGGCTTCTCAGCAGCTGGAGTAGCAGTGTTGACGTTTGTCAAAGATTCGTATTATGCGCAAGGTGAGAGTCCTGTGGATAACACGGACAACACCTAAGCCGTTTTAAAGTAGCTGATTTGAATTCTGTCAGTTACTTGTCCTGTGGTTGATGGAGCACCAGCATTGAAGAGCAAACAGTTGAGTGTTCTATTTTAGTCAGAGCCTGTGGCTGAAAATCCAGGATCAATTCAGCGAGGAAGAGATCAGTCCTCGCTCACAATTGACATCCCAGTAGGAGGGGGGATTGACTTGAATGTTTTTTCTTGCTAAACCCAAAACCCTGTTGACATCTCTCTCTTTGACAGTCCTATCAAGTGAGTTGTTTTTTCACACTGGAAAGGAAAAGGGACTTTTCAGCTGCTTTTTTTTCCCTTGTGCAATCTCTTTGTTTTAATTCCTTCCAAGACATTGAAGCAACATACAGACCTGATACTATTGTGTGGTAGCGAAACTGTGATAATTGCTAGTAAACTAGTTGTATTAATTTACTGCCTGAACAAGCTAAGAGTAGCAATAGGAACATTTCCCTTAAGATAGGGATAGTAATGTAAATTGGTAATATTCAGCTGCCTTGCAGCTGCAGGGTTTGTACACTTTGTTGTGGAAAATTGTCCGTAGGCAAGCAGATCATTTAACGTTCTGCATGCATAAAGGAAACATTCCTCTCCAGTGATTAATTCCAAAAGCTCAGAGTGTTTCAACAATAGTTTTTAAGTAGCTTGATGTGTCCTTTTCATTTTAGAATGGCCAGAGTTTCTTGGTGTTGGATGAACAGAGATTTGCAAAAGAGATTCTTCCCAAGTATTTCAAGCACAACAACATGGCAAGCTTTGTCAGACAATTGAACATGTGTAAGTTCTTGTTTTTTTCACTTTCTAGCGTGGTTCTAGATCCTGTAGATATTTAGTTCTAGATAACTCCCTCTGAGCAGGAACGTGATTCTTTGCTACTAGAATGCTATCTGAGCCTCAGAACTTCAATTCTTAATGTGAGTTTTGAGAGTTCTTTTTTTTTTCCTTTTTTTTTTCCCCCCCTTCTTCTTCTTCTTCTTTTTAAAGATGGCTTCCGTAAAGTTGTCCATGTTGATTCTGGGATTGTCAAACTGGAGCGAGATGGCCCAATAGAGTTTCAGCACCCATATTTTAAGCAGGGCCGGGAGGACCTGTTGGAACAGATTAAAAGGAAGGTTAGTGAAAATTCAATGTATATGTAGCAAACCTGTACTAAAAAATATGAATTAATAGTGAAGTTTGTGTCAAGTTTAGTTATTGCGGGATTCTGGTTGCAAATAAGCAGGGAGTTTTGAGAAGTAAATATTGTGCTGCTGCGCAGATAGACCTTTATTTGTTTAATATATTGGGGTTTGACTAGGCTCCTTTGTGTAATATCTTTGGCTGTCATTGTAGCTTTTAAGCTTGGCAAGCAGCAAAAATGAGTTATGCTAACGTGGCATATTTTGCAAGTGGTTTTTTAGTAGAAGTGCAGAGCTTGCTTTGACTTCACCATCACTAATATAACAAAATCTACTTGTATATGTAGCCTGTTTCAGAGCAAAGATATTGTAAGCATTAAACTTTCCGCTAAGGAGAAGAGAGAGGGACCGTGTGTGTAACCATGTTTGCCATGCTGCTAAATGTGTTTCTGAAATCTGCTCTGCTGTCATCATGAATCAGAACATACATGAAATAGAAATAAAGCAAGTTAACTGGTGGGAGAAATGTGCTTGTTAATATTGATTAATTTTTAAGCAGTTACGATTAAATGGAGCACTTAGTAGAATATTTGAAGAATCTGAATGTACAAAAATGTTTAACAATTAAAGCTACTTTGACAGCTGTTGGAAGGAAAATTTCCCTGTATTTCTGTACTTTGTGTTTGATGGTTGGCTGATCATGAACTTAAGAACAGATGGCTTACCAACACTAGAAGCAAATATAGTTGATCACCAAAGAAAAATGATGCTTCAAAAAGAGTAAAGCAAAGTGGCGTTTCTGGGTTCTCATCCTTTAAAGGTTTCTTCAAGACCTGAAGAAAATAAGATTCGTCAGGAAGATCTTTCCAAAATCATAAGCAGTGCTCAGAAAGTGCAGATTAAACAAGAGACTATTGAAAATCGATTGTCTGCTTTAGAGAGGTAAGTTACAATTCTGATAATGTCTATTGGGCAACAAATTTCAAACATCAATGTTTGAGGCTTCTGCTTTTTTTTTTTTTTTTTTGTTTTGGTAAAAATGATACAGGATATGATAAGCTTTTTATAAAAAGAAAGTTTCCCTCAAATGTAAATATTTCAATTTCTAAATCTCTGACTTTATTGCTTTGGGAAAATGTTCAACTCAACTCTTCACGTAAAAGTATACCGTTTTACGTCTTCAAGTTTCGTTCGAGGCAGAGTTTGTTTTGTGCAAAATATTTATCACACTTTCTTACTATAACAAATAGTTATATTTTTGCTAATTACTTTTCATTTTTCTGTTGTTGTCTTCGTTCCCCTACTACTGAAAATTGCAGAACAATTGATATCTTCAGAAATGTAATTAGGAATTTGATTAGTTACCTCTGCTACAGAGGCACAGATTCTAAAATATGAGTATATAGAGAGTATTTTTAGAAGAGCATTATTGCCTGTTACCTGTTTAGCAATTACAGTTTTTCCTCAACATGAGGAAAGATGCGTGTCACAAATTACTTAATCCTTTAGAGTGTGAAGATGCCGACAGAATATACAAGCATAAACTTTTGCACTGTAAGTCACAGCACTTTCGAAGTAACTCTGTCCCAAGACTCCGGATTGAGAACATAAATAATTGCATGCCTCTGTGGCAGAGGTGACTAATTGTATCAAGTTTTAAGAAGTAAATGCTTCTTAAAGTCTTTAGTTCTAATTAGTTGAGTGATACGAAAACTTAGTTCAACTAGGAACGGTGTTTCTTAAGAGCTGGCCAGTCTATATCAGAAATCAGGCTCAATTTCACCTTTTAGAATCCTAGATTAATTCGGGTTGGAAGGAACCTCTGGAGGCCGTGTGGTCCAAACAGCAGCTCAGAGCAGGTTTGAGTTTGGCTGAAATTACGTCACGTTGCTAACAGCCTGACAGTTTGCGAAAGATAGAAGACTGATCAATCTTTGACAGCCATACCGTTGTTCCAAATGACTGAAGTGGAAATTGGAGCTAAATCAGAAGATTTAACTAAGGCGCTATGAAAACATATTCAGAAAGCTGGTAGGAAAACAGAGAAAGTTCAGAATCCCTGACCTCAATTGTTTATATTTGTGATAGAGCTATACCCCTAAATTGCATGTTGGATGCAGTAGCGGCTGGAGCAGTGAGTAGTAAGCTTCATAATAGTGTGCTGAAGTGTTTTAACAGAAAATATACCAAAAGCTGTTTCAGAAAACTGAGCTAGAAGCTTACCAAAAAAAAGCGTGAATACCAGTGGAGAGCTTTTCTTCCTTTTTTGGTGCCCATCTGTATTGAGAACTAGGCTACAAAGCAGAAGTGGGTGATGTATTGTCTTTCCTTGCTTACTGAAGCTGTCCGTGTTTATTATCTACCTCCTAATATGCTTTGTGCGGTTGGAAACAGCAATGTTCATGGAAAAGATAGCAAAGGTTGCTTTAACAGCAGTTTTTATGCTGTCTCAGTTCTGGGCTGTTGAGAGAACTGGAAAAAGTAAGGTATATAAAACAGCAGTTTTACGTGAAAGCTGTCATCTGCTGCGGTCGTGTTGTTTTCGGCACTTAATATGCCCCTGTGCTGGAGCTAACAGAGGCAACTTTTAGTATAACCTGCAGCTGCATGTAGGATTTGTGCTTGTTCTGTAAAGATGCTTTCAAGGTAAACATACAGTTTCTGATAGTTGGATTGCACCTAGCAGGAGGTGTCAGGGGGGGCAAACAGACTTGATATAGATGAAGAACTGTTTTTGTTTTGTTTTTGTTTTTAACTAGTGAGAGGAAGCTATATACTTATGTTGCTTGATCCTTTGCTGCTTCCAGAAATGA